GATCCCCGAAATCAGAGGGGGCGAACGCCGTGAGGGAGGGAAGGGACGCCGGGGGACCGGGACGAGGAGGGGACCGGGTGGTCGGAATCCCTGAGCTGACACCTGGGGGAGGGCACAGTGACCCACGCAGGGGGGACAGCGCGGGAGGCGCCGGGGCGGTGGGAGCAGTTTCGGGGGGCTCGGGGCTACCCCGCCTCTAGGTTCAGGAGGGAGCTGAGGGGAACTGGAGGGCGCGGGCCTCGTGGAACGAGTGCGTGGATCGATCCACAAAGCGCAGGCAAACGGACAGAGGGGCGAGGGCTGCGTAGCTGGCGCCGGGTGGTAAGCGGTGGGGGACGCGCCTGGAGGGAGGGCGGGCGGTGGGCGCAGCGCAGGCCAGAGGAGCACCGGGCCGCGGCGTGGGTGGGTGGGCATGAGGTGGACGGACGGGTCGACTGGCAGAGGGCTGGACCCTGGGTCCCGACCGGACTCGCGTCCCTGCCTCCGCGAGCCGGGCCCCAGGTCATCTGGGTGACTCTCCCACCCTCTCCTCACTGCCGCCCCTCAGCCCCTTTTCTTCCCCCTTGACCCCACCTCAGGTCTGACTGGTTTTTGCACCACTGCCACCGCCTCCGCCATGTGGCCCTGGGGCTGTTCTGCTGCGGGGTCTCTGTCTACTTAGCAGGTGAGTGTGGGGACAGCATGGTGGGCAGGAGGTGGCCCCGGGGTCCACTCTGGGTTCTCTCTTCTCCCTCCGGGGCCCTGGCAGTTGCTTCTGCCTCAGTTTCCCCTCGGTGCAGTCCGCTGTGCCTGCCTCACCAAGTGGCAGCAGGGATGCAGTCGGCGAATCCACAGCCCCCAGTCCCTGCGCCCCTCGTGAGCTCCTGCATCGCTGTGTTGAGCTCAGGCGTCCACAGCCCAGTGCTCACCGGGGGGCTGCAGGAAGAGGGCTTGAGGTCCAAGTAGCACAGCTGCTGGCTCCAAATGGCTTAAAAATTACTTAGCCAACTAGACATGCAGTGTCATATACCAAAGTCGGAGGCACAAAGAGAACAAACCCGAGTGTCCCTATGAAGACGTACAACTATTAGGTGTTGGCCCACGGTGTCTAAGATGAGGGCCTGGCGGTGTCGCTCAGTGGGGAGCGCCTGCTCAGCCTGCAAGGCCCTGGGCTCTGTCTCCAGCACAAAAATGACGATGGCAATGATAATGATGCGCCAGATGCTGGAAGGCCACACACACTGTCCTTGCCTGATTGGACCGCCTTCCTTCAACCCACGCTTGTAAATGGGTCAAGTCATCAGTGCGTCCTGAAGGGGGCTCTTGGATACTTGAAAGTTTGAAAAAAGTGTTGCTGATGCCCCGCCTACCCTGTCAGCAACCTGTTTTTTAAAAAATCAATGGAAGCCTGGCGTGCTGGCGCCCGCCTGTAATCCCAGCACTTGGTAGGCTGAGGCAGGAGGATCGCTGTGAGTTCAAGACCAGCCTGGGCTACACAGTGAGTTCCAGGTCAGTCTCAACTACATAGTGAGACCCTGTCTCAAAACAAACAAACAAACAAAAAAATCAATGGAATGGAAGACAAGGGAGGCACAGGTGTGGTGGCACAGGGCGCTGTGATTCCAGTGCTCAGGAGGCTGAGGCAGGAGAATCAGCCTGAGTTTGAGTCCAGCCTGGGTTACACAGCCAGTTCAAGGCAAGCCTGGACTACATAGTGAGACCCTGTCCCCCCACCAAAAAAAGACAAGGGATTTTCTATTACTTTTTTTTGGGGGGGGACTGGGGATCAAACTTGGGACTTTGCACTTTCGAGGCAGGCAGCAGAACCACTGAACTACACCCCGGCCCTGCTATTACTATTTTTTTATTGATTGATTTGTATTTATTTAATGTGGTGCTGGGGATGGAATCCAAGACCTCACACAGGCTAGGTAATCTGTAAATTTTTTATATGTCAATTAAAAACTGGAGGCACACACTTAATAATCCCAGCAGCTCTAGATGCTGGGGCAGGAGGGTTGCAAGTTTGAGTCCAGCCTCAGCAACTTGGAGAGAGCCTGTCTGGAAATTAAAAGGACTGCAGGTATGGCTCACCCCTCCCTGGGTTCCATCCCAGCACTGCACAAGGAAGAGATAAAGAGACGCTAGGCAAAATTAAGAGCAAAACAACAAAATAAACACCCACAGAACGTGTGTGGAAGATGGTGCTATGCTTTCTTGCTTTTACAATAGAGAAACAGAAGTTACAAATTATTTTCATGAGAGGATTCAATTGTGTGTAAAGCACAGGCAACTGCATAACTTTCATCATTTGAGTTTAGAAAAGGCTCCAAATGGTGAGGTTTTCAAAGGGAGAATAGGCTGACTGGTGTATCTGTCCCTATCGGGGCAGCTGGCTTCAGGTGGGGCTGGATCCAGGCACTTACTTGAAATACTTTTGGTTCTCCCCCCACCCCCCGGCCCCAGGGGTCGAACTCAGGACTTTGTGCTTTCAAGGCAGGTGGCAGCACCACTGAGCTAAACACCTGGTCCTTCGTTCTATCTTTCATCTGCTGCCTCCTGAGATGATAGCTCTGAGAAAGATGCTGGATCTCAGAGCATTATTGACACAGTGCCTCAGCCTCGGGCCTTATCAGAGGCTGAAAAAAATTTTGGTAACCTAGAGTATAAGATTTCCTCATTATGAGGACACTTTTCATCTCTCATTTAATTCTTTTGTTTGTTGAGGCAGGGTCTCCCTTTGTAGTTTAGGCTGGCCCTGAACTCGCTATGTAGCCCAGGCTGGCCTTGAACTTGTAGCAACCCTCCTGCCTCAGCCTCCGAGTGCTAGGATTACAGGTGTGCACCACCACTCCCTGTTTCATTTAATTCTGAGACCCGGTGACCTTAGCAATTCCCAAGAGTGTCTGCCCAGATAATCATCCTTTCACTGCTAGTCAGAGCCAAAATAATAATGATCTTTTTGAAAATACTAGGTGTGGTGGCACACATCTGTAATCCCAGGAATCGGGAGCCTGAGGCAGGAGGATTGCCTGGAGTTTGAGGCCAGCCTGGTCTATAAAGTGAGTTCAAGGCCAGCCTGAACTACATAGCAAGACTCTGTCTCAAAAAAGGAAAAAAAGAGAAAAAATGAAGCCAGATTTTGTTCAGTGGTACTGTACCTGCCTCACAAGCATAAGGTCCTGAGTTCGATTCTTAGTACCGAACAAAAGAATATCTGCTTAAAAAAAAATCAAAACCAAGAGTGCAGAGTCAGCTTAACAACAGCCCCAAAGTACCGAGGCCCCAGCCTTCTCGGGCTCCCCAACTACTCCTACCCCACCACAGCAGGAAGAAAATCCTCTCCCAGTACCCAGTCCAAGTTTCCAGGGATGACTCAGGGTGAGTGTGGGTCATGTGATCTCTCTCTACCAATCACTATGACTGGAGAAGGCCACACTGTCAATGGCCTAGCCAATCGTATCAACTGTCGCCAAGGAGACAGGTCTGTGATCTGCATCAATGAGGGCTCACAGGTCCTCACAGACTCCTGGGCCTGGGGGTGGCTTGTCAGTTGTAGGACGTGTGTATCTGTGGGTGCACACCCTGTGTGGCCATGTGTCTGGCTGCTGTGTCAGAGATGCCCTTCTCCCCATACTGGGGATTGAACCCAGGTCTCACTGAGCTAGACCCAGCCCCCCGCCTTTGTTATGGTACCGGGGATCGAACTCAGGGCCTTGCACTTGTCGGGCAGGCAGTGGAACCACTGAGCTAAATCCCCCCCGCCTCAGGCTCAGCCCTTTTGTAAACTTCTTATTTTACAGACAGAATCTCAGTAAGTTGCCAAGCTGCCCAGGCTGGGCTCTGGGCTCCAACTTGTGATCCTCCTGCCTCAGCCCCCCCAGAGTGCTGGGATTACAGGCAATGCACCCTTATGCCTAGTAGTATTTTATTCCTTTTTATGGGTGAGTAATATTCCACAACATTGCCATTTATCAGAAAAGGCTTCCTTTGGCTGTGTTCCATTTGTGGTGCCGGAATGAAACCCAAGCCTGGAGTGTGCTACAAAGGCCCTGCCACTGGGTCTGCACCCCTGCATGAGGGAGCTCCTTAAAACACAGGAAATGGGCCGGGGATTTAGCTCAGTGGTTTTGCTGCCTCCCCTGCAAGTGCAGGGGCCTGAGTTCGATCCCCGGTACCAAAAAAACAAATAAAACACAGGAAATCAAGCCAGGCACTATGGCACATGTAGTCCTAGTTACTCAGGAGGCTGAGGTAGGACAGTCATATTATATACTGGGCTATATAGCAAGACCCCCTCCCAAAACAAACGGGAAAATGACGGAGCCAGTTCCTGTCCCTTCTCATCTCCAAACTCCCCCGGGCTCCCCCTGCGGTCTGGCCCTCACCTCCCTCACCCCTCCTGCCATCTGCCTCCTGCCCCAGCTACACTGCTGGGTTGTTTTCTGAGCCTCAAGTGATTGGGTACTGCTACCCCAGGACCTTCGCACTTGCTGCTCGGTCACATGCCCCTCCTCTGGTCTCCCCAGGGCTGGTTCCTTCTTCCCTCCCAGCTCTCAGATCCCTGCCACAGTTGCCGAAGGAGGTCCCCGGACTCCTGAATCCTCCAGCCCTGTAAAAGTCCTCCTCTGTCATTTCCCGGCTGTGTGACTCTGGGGGGCTGATTTCCTTATCTGTAGACTGATGTGATGATGGTGTGATTGTGAGGGTGGGAGTGAGGTGAGTTCATCTGCATCCTGTTCATGGGGCGGGGTGTGGGGTTCTCTGTCACCATCCCTGCTTGGGGGTCTCCCATTGCACTTGGAGAACAAGCATTTGTTGACTGACTTTAACAAGAGCCCTTTCCTTCCCCAGCACTGTCCATCTATGCCCTGCTGCTTTTCGAGACCGACGCAGGTGCGGCCGCTGCCTCCATCCTGGGCTCCGGTGCGCTGGTGCTGGTGGCCGTACTGACCCACACCCTGCTCCAGGCTGCCCGCCGTGGCCTCCCCAACCCAACCGCCCAGCCTT